CAAGAACCAGCTTTTTGATTCATTGATTCTTTGGATTGTTTTCTCTGTTTCTATTTTGTTGATTTCAGCCCTCAGTTTGATTATTTCCAGTCTTCTAGACCTCCTGGGTGAATCAGCTTCTTTTTTTTCTAGATCTTTCAAGTGTGCTGTTAAGTCTCCAATGTGTGCTTTCTCCGCTTTCTTTAATTGGGCACTTAGTGCTATGAACTTTCCTCTTAGCACTGCTTTCATAGTGTCCCATAGGTTTGAGTATGTTGTGTCTTTGTTTTCATTAAATTCAAGGAAGAGATTAATCTCTTTCTTTATTTCTTCCTTGACCCAGGGGTGATTTAGTAGTTGACTGTTCAGTTTCCATGAGTTTGTTGGCTTCCTGGGGGGAGCATTGTTGTTGAATTCTAATTTTAGTCCATGGTGATCTGACAAGACACAGGTAGTTACTAATATTTTTCTGTATCTGTGGAAGTTTGCTTTGTTACCGAGTATGTGGTCAATTTTCGAGAAGGTTCCATGAGCTGCAGAGAAAAAGGTATATTCTTTCCTATTTGGGTGGAGTGTTCTATAGATGTCTGTTAAGTCCATTTGATTCAATACCTCCAATAGGTCTCTCAATTCTCTGTTTGGTTTCTGTCTGATTGACCTGTCCATTGGTGAGAGAGGAGTGTTGAAGTCTCCTACTATTAGTGTGTGTGGTTTGATGACCGCCTTGATTTCTAGAAGAGTTTCTTTTACATATGTGGGTGCCTTTATATTAGGAGCATAGATATTCAGGATTGAGACTTCCTCCTGATGAATTGTTCCAGTTATGAGTATGAAATGTCCATCTCCATTTCTTCTGATTGATTTTAGTTTGAAGTCGATTTTGTTAGATATTAGAATGGCCAAGCCCGCTTGTTTCTTAGGTCCATTTGCTTGGAAAACCTTTTCCCAACCCTTTACTCTGAGTAAGTGTCTGTCTTTGTGGTTGAGGTGTGTTTCTTGTAAACAGCAGAATGTTGGATCCTGTTTTCGTATCCAATCTCTAAGTCTGTGCTTCTTTATAGGTGAATTGAGTCCATTGATATTAAGTGATATTAATGACCAGTGGTTGTTGACTCCGGTCATTTTTTTTTTTTTAAGTAGTAGAGTGTATGTGTTTTTCTTCTTTGATTTGTGCTTGTGAATGGTCGCTAGATGTTCGAGTTATTGTAGATCGTGTTGGGAATGTTGGATTCCTTCGGTAGTGCTTTTCCTTCTAATATTCTCTGTAAGGCTGGATTAGTAGCTACGTATTGTTTAAATTTGTTTTTATCCTGGAATATTTTGTTTTCTCCGTTGATAGTGAACAATAGCTTGGCTGGGTATAGTAGTCTGGGTTTGCATCCATGGTCTCTTAGTTTCTGCAGTACCTCTATCCAGGATCTTCTGGCTTTCATGGTTTCCATAGAGAAATCCGGTGTAAGCCTGATAGGTTTACCTTTATAAGTTACTTGACCTTTTTCCTTTGCAGCTCTTAAAATTTTTTCTTTAATATTTATGTTTTGTGTTTTGATTATTATATGGCACGGGGATGTTTTTTTCTGATCCAATCTATTCGGTGTTCTGTATGCTTCTTGAACCTTCATAGGAATATCATTCTTTAGGTTGGGAAAGTTTTCTTCTATAATTTTGTTGAATATATTTTCTGGGCCTTTGATCTGCAGTTCTTCTCCTTCTTCAATCCCTATTATTCTTAGATTTGGTTTTTTTATTGTGTCCCAGATTTCCTGAATGTTTTGTGAAGAGAATTTGTTGGATTTGCCGTTTTCTCTGACCAGAGCATTTATTTTCTCTATGGTATCTTCAGAATCTGAGATTCGTTCTTCTATCTCTTGTATTCTATTGGTTATGCTTGATTCTGTAGTCTCCGCTCGTTTACCTAGGTTTTCCATATCCAGCCGGTTCTCGTTTTGTGTTTTCTTCATTGCCTCCATTTCAGTTTTCAATTCCTGGACTGTTTCCTTTACTTGTTTGATTGTTTTTTCTTGGTTTCTCAGGGTATCACTCACGGATTTACTTATTTCTTCAAACTTTTTGTTATATTTCTCATCCATTTCTATACTCATTTCTTCAAACTTTTTGTTATACTTCTCGACCAGTTCCTTAAGGGAGTTATTCATATCCTGTTTAAGGGACTCTATTGCTTTCATAATGGCACTTTTTTCCACTTCATCTGGGTTAGAGTGTTCAAATCCTTCTGTTGTAGGGTCATTGGGATCTGATATTTTCATGTTGTTTTTCAGATTGTTGGAGGAGGTCTTGCCTTGGCGTCTGCCCATCTCTTCGATCAAATGCTCTCTATTGGAACTTCTGGTATCGGGTCAGGTTCCCTTGTTGGGCAGGGAGTTCACTGATAGAATGCCTACCTTTCCCCAAGCAGGGTATTGAACCACAGGCACTGCCTCTTTCCGGGATGCCCCTATAGAGCAGGCCCAGTGTGCAAGGCAGCTGAGCTGGGGAAATTTTATGGGCTCAGTGGGAGGGGAGAAATATAGAAATTTGTACCTGGATGGAAGCTGGGATGGCAGGTGGGAGAGCCTAGCAGGGTGGAGCCAGCAGAGCAGGCTGACCTGGGAGTCTATGGG